AAAACAAAAAAGTCTAAATACAATAGAATAAAGGAAATAATAATAATAATAATAAGAGCAAACATTTATGAAACAGAACACAATAGTCAATAGACAAAGTCAACAAAGTAAAATGTTGGTTCACTGAAGAAAAAATAAAACTGACAAATCTTTAGCAAAGTGATCAAGAATGAAAGAGAGCAGATACAAATTTTAGGAATAGAAAAGGAAATCATAAATACCACAGCAATTACACAGATAAAATATTACAAGCTGTTTATCAATACATTTAAAAACTTAAGTAAAATGGTCAAATTCTTGGAAATCTAACTATGCAAAACTGACTTAAGGAGAAATTTAAAATCTGAAATTAAAATATCAGAGCTATCTATTTAGCTTGTACAACCTTACTGTTCATTTAGGGACAGGGTCAATTCTGATTGATTTGTGCAACAATTCTAATTGGTTTTTAAATAATTTTATTACCACCCAGTCTATAATCATTAAAATTTTATCAGTATTTAAAATTTTTTCCCACAAAGGAAACACCAGGTCCAGAAAGTTTTATAGGCAAGTTTACCAAGAATCAAGGAACAGATCATTCTAATCTTAATCTCTTAAGATTAAGAAAGTATAAAAGGAGGAACATCCCCATCCCCTAACTAATTTTATGAGGCTCATATAACTTTATACAAAAACTAGACAAAAAAAAAAATCATAGTCCAGCTTCATTTTTGGTCATGGATGTAAAAAATCTTTAAATATTAGCAACTATACTGAGCAAAAATATATATGAAGTTAATGATCAATTGGATTTATTCCACAAATGGAAGCTTGTTGAACCATTAGAAAATTTATTAATATAATTTACCACATTAACAGGTTAAAAGAGAAAAAACAGATGGTCATTTCAAAAGAAGTAGGAAAAGTACTCAAAAAATTTCGTAAGTCATAACAAAAACAAACAAGAACACTCATAGCCAAAAAGGAATAAAGAACATCCTTAGCTTAAATAATAAAAGTATCTGCAAAAACATCTCTGGCAAATATAATACTCTACAGTCAAAAAGTTAAAAATAAGGACTAGACAAGAAGATAAATTATTATCATTCCTAACAACTCTGTGCTGGAGTTCCAGCCATTGTTGAGCATCAAGAAAAATAGCAAAAGAAGTATAAGGACTGGAGAGGAAGAAACCAAATTGTCATTATTTTCAAATTAAGTGATGGTCTATGTTAGGGGTGTCGAACTCAATCAGAGAAGGGGCCAAAATCTAAAATCCAGCCTAAATCGCGGGCCGAATGGTTTACTGAACAGTCATAAACTGTCATTGTGATGGAAACGCAGCAGAGTGCAGTGATGACAGCGTGGTGCGGGCCACATTGTAAGGCCTGGCGGGACGGATTTGGCCCGCGGGCCTTGTGTTTGACACATGTGGTCTATGTAGAAACTCAGAATCTGCCACAAAATGTAAGAAAAATAAAATGTGTCAAGATTTTTAGATATAAGATCAATAGGCAAAAGTTAATTGCATTTCTATATGCCAGCAAAACAAACAAAAACAAAAAAGAACAAACAGTTGCAAAATTTCATTTTAAAAGAATACCATTTACAATAGTCCAAAAAATAAGATATCTGAGAATAAATCTAAAAAATTTTAAGGAAATTCACATAGACTATTACAAAATTTTACTAAAATATGTGCAAAAACACTTAAGTAAATGAAAAATATACCATATGAATGGAGGTCCATCTTAAAGTTATCAATTTCCCCCAAACTTTATAGATTCAATAGAAATCCAAATAACTTCCTTAACTAACTCAAATTTATAAGAAAGAGGAAAATGCCAAAGATAACTAAGGTACTTTTTAAAAAAGTACTTCTAAAGAAAGAAGCAGGAAGTCTTGTCCTATCATATATTAAAAGATATTATAAAGCTACAATTATTAACACAGAATTTACAAAAAGATAGACAAATTGTTCAATGGAACAGGAAGCCTAGAACCAGATATTTGGCAAAACTGGAACTGCAGATAAATGGGGAAAATGATAAATTTCTCAATATGAAAATAGCTGGGATAATCCATTTGAGGAAAATAAAAGGAAATGGATCCTTTCCTCATCTAATATGTGTGTACATTTGTTTGTGTATGTGTGTGTGTGTGTGTGTGTGTGTGTGTGTATACAACTACAGTTACATTAGGGACATAAATGTGAAATCTTTGAAAATCTCTGAAGAAAAATATTGGTAAATTTTATTATATTAAATTTAAGAAGGTTTCTTTATAAAAAAAAAACACTTTTTTTATCTATAGATTAATAATAAAGACAAACAAATGAGCAGACTATGTGAACATCCATTTCACAGGAGAGAAAACATGTATTGCCAATGTGAAAATGTACTCAATTTCTAGTACATATGAAAATTAAAACCACAATGAGATATAACTTTGTATCCCAATAGAATGAGAAAAAATGTAATAGTTGATTAAGACCAAGTATTTGCAAGAATCTGGAGAAACAGAAAGTCTATTAGTTGAAGTGTAAATTGCTTTGACCAGTTTAGTTAACATTTGGGTATTACTTGTAGTTGTTCCACTCTTGGCAGAGAAATTCTTGCACCAGCAGATGTACAAAAAATAATTATATTAGGAAAAACTAGAAACAATCCAATAAACCCAGTAGAATGAATTTTTTTTAATGATGGTGTGTTTATATAGTACAATAAAATAAGAGTAAAAATAAATGAACTGTTTACCTACATGGTTGAATTGCAAAAACACTGCCAAGTAAATATTGGAAGTTATGAGTGAATATACCTTATGATTTCATTTTTATAAAAGTTATGAACAGGCAAAAGTATGTAATATACATTTATGTTACAGCAAAATTGAGTACAACTATAAATAAAAGCAAAAGGATGATTTTAATTCTTCTTCATACATCAGAACCAGACAGTTCAATGTTTTAAAAATTATTCTAAACCATAAGAAAAAGAGCTGAAAGTTGAACATTTAATTTTATAAACCAGCAAAATATTAATCTGAATATCTGATTTAAAAAATAGTGTAATTAAAGAAAGCATAGAATGACCTAATTTATGATTATTAATGCAAAGCTTCTGAATACAATTTTAGTAAGTAAAGTATTTCTGAATACTAAAGTTTATTATAACCACGTAAGTTTATTTGAGGAATACTTATATTAAAAACCTGTCAATATAAGTCATTATACCAGCAAATTAATAGAGAAAATAAAGGTTATATAGATGATGAAAAAGTATTTGAAAAAGTGAGCAGTTTTTTCAAATAAAAACTCTATATAAATCTGATTAGAAGATGTATTTATCATAGGATATGCTAGCCTATGTAGCTCAATAGCTTCCCACATATTATTCTTCATCACGTTGTAATTCAACTAGAGGCCTAGTGCAAATATTTGTGCTCTGGTGGGGTCCTTTGGCCTGGCCTGTACCCTCTTGCAATCCAATGCAAGATGTACAGGGGGATGTTGGAGAGCCAGTTTCAGCCCAATTCCTGCAGGCCAGGCCAAGGGACTCCACTGGTGCTCAATCAGGGCCAGGAAAGGGCTCGGGGATGTGTCTGGACCATCTGGCCCAGTCCTGATTGGAGCCAATTGGGACCAGCCAGCTGGGGTGGATTGTGGGAGGTTGGCTGGCTAGGGAGGGGCCGTGGGAGGGCTCCAGGGCATGTCTGGCCCATCTCTTCCAGTCCCAATTGGTCAGACCCCAGCAGCAAACTAACCTACTGGTCAGAATGTCTGCCCTCAATACGCATCATAGTGAGGCGACTGATTAAACAGTCAAACTGTCAGACACTTAGCATATTAGACTTTTATTATATAGGACTAGAGGCTTGGTGCATGGATTCATGCACCAGTGGGGTCCCTTGGCCTGGCCTGCAGGGATCGGGCTGAAACCAATTCTCCAACATCCCCTAAGGGGTCCAGATTGTGAGAGGGCACAAGCTGTGCCAAGGGACCCCACTGGTACACAATTGGGGCGGGGGAGGGACTACAGGAGGGTTCCAGAGCATGTCAGGTCCATCTCACCCAGGCCCAATGGGCCAGACCCCAGCAGCAAACTAACCAACTGGTCAGAGTATCAGCCCCCTGGTGGTCAGTGAAAATCAGAGTGACTGGGAAAATGGTCAAATGAATAATTGGACACCTAGAATATTAGGCTTTTATTATATAGGATGTGGACCAGCAGTGGAGCTCTCCTACACAGTCATCAGGGATTTAGGCTCTTTCCATCACTAGCTCTGTCATGTTTTAGGATCTCAGAATTATCCATCAAATCCTTTGCATCTGACTGGCAGAGAAGGAAAATTGAAAAATCATGTCAGAGGCTCAATTAGAACTGGAAGTATAGTAAATCATTGCCACCCACATTCTTTTGACCAAAATTTAGTGTGACTGGGATTCCTTAATCACAAGTAAAATTCAATTAGATGAGGCTTAGTTAATCACAAGTGGGACTGGAAAACAGTTTTGTCATAGTGAGTCTGTAGCCAGTTTTTGACAGAGAAAATAACTGCCTAAAATATTAAAGTCCTTTACTAAAAAAATGATAGCACACATTATCCTGTTGAGAATATTAAATATAATTACAATGAAATTTAAAAAAAGACAGGGGAATATGCATTATCAGCATTATTTATTTAACTAGAGGCCCAGTACATGAAATTGGCCAGAATTAGTCACATAGCAATGTCTAATTTTAAGGCACAAGAAAGTATCATCTCTTGTTATGGTAAAACCTTGGTTCTCTAATATCTCCCATCTTGAACAAGTTGGTTCTCCATTAAATTGTTCTACAGAAAAAATGTCTCAGTTATTGAATTTCAGTTCTTAACTTGACAACCTTTTCATGCTGATACATCAGCATGGCAAAAGGCTTCTCTCTGACCACAAACAAAGGAGAGAATCCAAATCAATTTACCCCTAAACCTCACACTGTTAACATCTCAGGAAATTATGCTGTGAATATTTTTTGTGGGCTCTTTTCCCCGCCTTTGTTACTGGTGAAATGGACAATTAGCACAATTTTAAAACATAAAGAGGCCATCAAGAGTGCTAATGTTGCTAAGGTGTGAAAGAAAACAGTGACCACAGGCAATTGAAGAGGCAGAAAACTGTTTTTGATTTGGATAAACAAAAAGCAGTTAGTGGTGACAGCATTTTGAAGGCAGTGATGTGTGAGAAAGCAAAGATCCTGCATGCTGACCTGGAAGACACCTCTGGAACAAGCACTAAAAGTGATTGAAGGCTAGTAGGAGGTGGTTTGATAAATGTAAGAGAAGAAGTGCTTGTTTATAGATTAACATGTATTACATACAAGAAAAGTTAAAACAGGGAATCATTTGGGGTTTAGAATGAATTAATTCAATTTACATTATATCTAGTAGGAAAAAAATGATTCTGTCTTCTAACAAATTGCTTCTCAAACAGCCTTCTGGAACTAATTAGTTTGAAAACTGAGGTTCCACTGTACTTAGAAGTAAAGAGGAACAGGATATTGTTAAACAGTGATAAATGTGTATCATACACGCATCATTTACTAGGATTTCTCAAACTTGCCAACTTAAAAAAAAGCTCTGTGAAAATCGTATTACTGATAAAATATTTTCTGTCCTTCTTGGAATATTACTCATCTCCAGCTCATTGATGCCAGGTGTGGCCTGGTGACATGAATAATCTTTCCTGTAGGAGGATATGAAAGGAGGGTTTTTGGGGTAAAATAAGATTTTTTTAATTTTATTTTTTGTGAAACAGGCAGGTTTAGGAAATTTTAAAAGATTAAGGGGTTCATGGGGGGAGAAAAACACAGAGCTACAGAGTTGCAAAAGGGTACATTTCCATAAGTCAAGTGAACAGAAAGCAGCAGAAATTACACTTCCGTAAGACAAGGGAGCTAGGAGTAGCAAAAGATACACACTTACAGAATAAAGGGAAGGAGGAAGAAAGCCCAGAGAGAATAGAGAAACAATAAGTAGGGAGGGGAGGAGAGCCTCACATGTCCTATGTGAGATTAGTTAGACCTTTGGCTCAGGAATTGCTCGGGAATTTGCAATAGTGACCAAATCAGAAAGGGCTGGTGACCAATCAGAGGGGATATCAAGGCACAAAGACCTGCAATCTTTATAAACCATAGAAAAAAGGGACTCAGCGGGACGCTTTCCTTCTCCCCACGTGAGAGTCTGTGCTGTGGGATTATTTCCCTTTGTGGGAGTCTGTACTTGTTCTTCAATAAATTTCCACATTTGCTACACCATCTTCGGTCCGTGGTTTCATTCTTTGACTCCAACGAGCAAAGAGCCCAGGGAAAACCATCTTGCTCAGGGAACACTGAGCGTTTCAGTCCAAAATTCCCATATCAGACATGCATCCCTGAGACTTCACTGTCAGATATGGGCACATCTCTTGCTTTGGCTTATAAAGTGAGGTGGGAGGTACTGTGGGGCATTGCTTTGTAGAAGCTGTACAAACCACAAGATGCTCTAGCTTGTTTCCTTTCCCTCTATTACAAGGCTGCATTGCAGTGTGACTCTGTTAGCCTGGGTCCCAGAGTGAAGATGTGATGCAGAGCTACTGCCAGCTTGTGATGGACATGTAGCATGAGCAGTAAATTATAAATCACTGAGAATTTCAGGTTGCTGCTGCAACATAACTTATTCTAGGCTGACTGATATGCATATACCAGACTTAATGAATCAGGAAAAATGCTTATAGGAAAAGGCAGACTAAATGGAAAAACATATATTCCAGTTGGACTACTGATAAAAGTATACTAAGAGTATAGTATACAGAGTACTTAAGGTTAACTTTGATAAGACAAGTTTAAGACATATGAAATTATAAATTGTTATTGAAAGATATAAAACATGTCTATTCTACCAAAATCAATGTACAAATTTAGGGTAATTCCAAACATAATTTCAATTGTTTCTTTTTAATTTGATAAAAGCATTTTAATGCTCATGTGAAAAAATAGAATTGACCTACAATGTTGCTGCCAAGATTAATTAAATGGGCTAAAATATGTAAAGTGCTTAGGACAGTATTTGGCACATATTTGCACAACATTAGGTAGTTCTGTTATTTGAAAAAATAATTAGATCATTATCATAGAGTCTCAAAATATATCTTAGTACAAATGGAATTTTACTATAGCCACCTAGAGGAAAATATAATTAGATTATCTTAATCCATATTAACAAATAAATTCCATATGAATTAAAATAAATATGTTGGACTGGGGTCTTAGCTTAAGATGGCGACCGGCAAGAAGGTAGGGAGGGGAAAAGTATGAGAGAGTGAGGGAGCAATAGAGACATGTGGTGTGTGTGTGTATATGAGCTAGGGACAGTTAAATTCTGAGGTCTTCCAAAGGGCTGCCAAACCGGGCAGTCTTAGATGGTGCAGCCCCACTCCCACCATGGATACTCTGGGGCGGCAGTGCAGGCACAGAGACCAGATCATCTTGAGAAACAGAGCTGCTTGAGACTAGGATCCTGGAGATGCAAACCAGGACTCTGCAGCCACTGGGGACAGAGACCTGTGACCACAGCTGCAGATCCACAGACATCAAGATTCCAGACATCCTGGCTGCAGATTTCTGTGAGTCACAGAGCCCCATTTAATTTCTTTTATTTCCCCACAGGCTCGAGGGCAGTGCCATAGTAACGGATAGACCCGCCCTCGCATGGGCCACAGCACACAGGAATTTGAGCCTGGGAGCACACACTTTCCCCCTTAATTTCTTTCTGCTTCTTTCTCTCTTTTTTTTTTTTTTTTTTCCATTTTAATCATTTTCCCCTTCCTCTTTTGTATACCATTTCCCTTTTCCTATTCTTTATTCTTTTTTTCTCTCCCTTCTTTATTTTCATATTCTCAATTCTTCCCTTCCCCTTTTTCTCATATTTATTTTTTACTTTTATTATTTTTGGGGTGTTTTTGTTGTTGTTGGGGTCTTTTGTATGTTTTTGTATTGTTTCTTGTTTTGTTTTGTTCTGCTAGGACCTGCACAATAGCCTGAACAACAAGGTTGGGGTTGAGCTTCACACCCAGCCAGCCTGAGGCGAGCTTCCACCCAGGAACAAGAAAACAACAATCAAGACCCAATTACAGCAGGAGAGTTCAAATAACCCTCACAAGGAATATTTGTAGAGAGCCAATTTAAGAGAGCTAAGCAACTGCACCACTGGGTCCCACAAGACACTTACTGCATAAGGCCACCCCACGAAGACTAGGAGGAATAACAGTTCTATCTGATACACAGAAACAAACATCAGGAGATAGCTAAAATGGGGAGACAAAGAAACAATCACCAAGTGAAAGAAAAGGAGGAATCTCCAGGGGGAAAATAAAAGAGAAATTAAATGGAGGCAAGCAATTTATTAGATACAGAGTTCAAAGTAGTGGTTATAAGTTTGCAAAAGAAACTTAGTAAAAGTGACAAGGAACTTGGTAGAACTACAACATACAAAAGGAACAGAAACCATGAAAAAGAAATGAAGGATACCATATCTGACATCAAGAATATACTGGAAGAAATTAGATTGAATGAAGCAGAGAATCAAATCAGTGATTTGGAAGACAAGATAGAAAAAAACACACCCAAATAGAGCAGCAAAAAGAAAAAAGAATTACAAAGCAGGAGGCTCATTTAAAGGAACTTTGGGACAATATGAAGTGTAACAACATCCATATCATATGAGTACCAAATGGAGAAAGAAGAGAACAAGAAATAGAGAACCTATTTAAATAAATGACAGAAAACTTCCCTAACCAGAAGTAGTTCAGGAAACACAGAGTCCCAATCAAGATGAACCCAAAAAGACTCATTTAAGACACATCATAATTAAAATGACAAATATTAAACATAAAGCAAGAATCATAAAGGCATCAAGAAAGAGACAGAAAGTTACCTACAAGGGAATTCCTATTATACTGTTAGTTAATTTCTCAACAGAAATACTTTGGGCCAGAAAGGATTGGCATAAAATGTTCAAAGTAATGAAAAGCAAGGATCTAAATCCAAGATTATTCTATCTATCAAGGCCAACACTTAATATTGAAGGCAAAATAAAGAGCTTTACAGGAAAAAATAAATAAACAAACAGAAATCCTAAAGATTAGTAAATTATCACCAAACCAGCATTGCAAGAAATGTTAAAGGTCAAATGAATGCTTGGTCATGAGTAGATCCAGGTTCTTATTTCGGTTTTGTATCTGACATTGCAAGATTCATTGAGTCAGTTAATTTAGGGCTCGGCTTGTTTCCTGTTTTGAAAATCAGTGATTTAAGCACATGTGTCAAACACAAGGCCCGCGGGCCAAATCCGTCCCGCCAGGCCTTGCAATGTGGCCCGCACCATGCTGTCATCACTGCACTCCGCTGCGTTTCCATCACAATGACAGTTTATGACTGTTCAGTAAACCATTAGGCCCACGATTTAGGCTGGATTTTAGATTTTGGCCCCTTCTCTGATTGAGTTCGACACCCCTAGATTTAAGGGTAGTCTTTCTCAGGTTTAACATTCTATGACATGCAATTGAGCTGAATTTATAATAATTCCATATTGATCTCTAAATTATTTTTAAAAAAATCTTAAGTAGTCCATTTACTTATATTTATATTTTCTCATTATAAAAGTAATATGTAAAATTACTACTGACTCTTGAGTTTTTGGTTGCTTACATTCTAATTTAAGAGAAAGTTTTAATATGTTTTCAAAGGTTTATTACAATGATTTCGAAAAGTACAGCATTAGATACAATTTAGGGAAAATTATTCACCTGAAATATTGCACTTTCTCAATAATTATGATTATGTATACTACACAGAATAATAGATATCAAGATTATTAGAGAAAATTTTGGTACAGTCAGACTTTAATTTGAATTAAAACTTGAAAAAAAACAGTCTTATGGAAAATTGGATGGCAATAATCAGTGTAACTACAACATGACTGAATACATTTCTTTGTTGAATCTGTTGGTAAGCAAATTAAAATGTATATTGTAGCTTATAGTTGAGGATTTATGCAATAGCAGAATTGTGCCAACAAGTTGATTATGTAAGCAACAAACCTAATTTTAGCTATACTGGATTTGACAAATTGCATGACATTCTGCCTGATAAATCTGAGATTTATAATTATTACTACTATCAACAGTAATGAAACAGCAGAGAACATCAATATCTGACATTTTAATCCATATATTTCACTTTTCTTCTTTAGTTCTGGAAAAAATATGACAATAAATAACTATCAATAATAACTATAAATGTATATGGATTAAATGCTCTAATCAAAATATATAGGGTAGCTGAATGGATAAGAAATCATGACCCATAAATGTAAGAGATTCACCTCAGAACAAAAGACACACACAGAACAAAAGTAAAGGGATGGGAAAAAATACATTCAAGTCAAATTAAAATGAAATAAAAAAGCTGGGGTAGCAATAGTCATATCTGACAAAACAGATTTCAAAACAAAGGCCACAAAAAGAGACAAGAAGGTCACCACATAATATTAAAGAGATTGACCCAACAAGAAAACGAACTCTTGTAAACATGTATGTACCTAATATAGGAACACCTAAATATATTTTTAAAAATTCTTAGTGGACTGTCAAAACCAGTTTGGCTCAATGGATAGAGCATCAGCCTGCAAACTGAAAGGTCCCAGATTCGATTCCGGTCAAGGGCATGTGCCTTGGTTGCAGGCACATCCCCAGTAGGCTTTTTATGCATGCAAATTATACATGTTCTGTACCCGAAGCTACACTGTGTTCCAGTAAAAAGCCTGCTCAGATTGGCCAGAGTCAGAGAGGCGGTCTATTAAAAAAAGAACTGGTGTTGCCTCGGAAGTGGGGGGTAGTCTTATACAGCGAATATAGGCCTAAACCTATGTTTTAAAATGTAAAAATTAGGGGGTTGTCTTATATGTTGGAAAATACGGTAATTTGTATACTTGCTCCTGATTGGCTGGTGGGTGTAGCGGAGGGATGGTTAATTTTTATGTTTCTCTTTTATTAGTGTAATTATATAAATAAAGGTAATATACAAATTAGGCCAGGATGCTATAATGGGTCAACTGGACAGGAGGAGGTTGTACCTGCAACATTGGGCATGGGGCGGCAGGGGCCTCTCTGAGCCTGCGCTAGGGGAGAGCCTGATCAGCAGTGGCTGTGGCTGCTTCAAGGGTGGAGAGGGAGGCAGGGCTGCTGCTGCTGCTATGGCCCAGGGAGCGAGGCATGGCCAAACCAGCGGTGGCTATAGGGGCTGCTGCACTGTGGGCCCATGTCAGGGCTCATGCAGGAGGCAACCATGACCAGCCTGCAAATTACCACAGGCCCTTTGCCCAGGCTGCCCCATACCCCAAGGGAACCCCCACCCTGATCTGGGACACCCTTCAGGGCAAACTAGCCAGCCCTCACCCATGCACCAAGCCTCTATCTATACTAATAAAAGGGAAATATGCTAATTAGACTGAGAGACCTTCCAGGAGACCTTCTGGACGTTCTTCTGGACAAAGCCATGGTGGCGGGGCAGAGGTAGAGGTGGTTAGCGGCCAAAAGGGGAGGGAAGTTGTGGGTGATCAGGCCGATGGGGGGATGCTGTTGGGTGTGATCAAGCCAGAGTAGGGAGGGCAGTTGGGAGTGAGCAGACCAGAAGGGGAGCCAGTTGCGGGTGAGCAGACCATCAGTGGGGGTCAGTTGGGGGTTATCAGGACAGTGGGGGGGTAGTTTGGAGTGGGCAGGCCAGCAAGGGGGGCAGTTGGGGGCAAGCAGGCCAGTGGGGAGGGGAGGTAGGGGCAAGCAGGCCAGCGGCAGAGTGGTTAGGGGCAAGCAGGCAGGCAGGCAGGTGAGCCGTTAGGAACCAGCAGTCCTGGTTTGCAAGAGGGATGTCTGACTGCCAGTTTAGAACTGTTCCTTATAAACTGGCAGTAGGACATCTTTTGAGGGTTGTGTGTATGTATACACACACACACACACACACACACACACACACACAAAGTGGCCACATTACTATGACCACCCCTTCAGTACTTCGTTGGGCCACCTTTTGCTTTCAGTGCTGTGGCAATTCTTCTTGGCATTGACTCCACGAGATGTTCAAAGGTGATGTGTGGAATCTGACACCATGCCTGATGAACACCACTGTCCAGTTCTGTGAGATTTAATGGTTGTAGAACCAGCTGCTTGATGGCTCTTTTAACTTCGTCCCACAAATGCTCAATTGGATTGAGATCTGGTGATTGTGGGGGCCACCTAAGCAAGGTAAAGTCTCCCTCATGTTTTTGAAACCACTCCTGCACAATATGAGCACGATGGCATGGCGCGTTGTCTTGAAAGAAGCCATCTCCATTGGGATACGCCATCAAAATTATAGGATGAACTTGATCAGCAACAATACTTATGTATGTTGTGCTATTCAGACATTGCTCCATACGAATTAAAGGGCCCAAATCATACCAGGAAAACACGCCCCAAACCATAACACTGCCCCCACCAGCTTGAAGGGTTGTACTCATGCATGTGGAGTGCATGCTTTCATGCTGTTTCCACAAAATTCTCATTCTGCCATCTGCATGATGCAACTGGAAATGTGATTCATCAGACCGCATGACTTTTTTCCAATGCTCAACTATCCAATCCTTGTTACCTGTGCGAATTGGAGATGTTTTATCTTGGTAATTGCAAACAGCAAAGGTGTTCAAACAGGCCTTCGGCTTCCATATCCCATACGATGCAGCGTACAGGTAATTTGCCTAAAATGTCAGGTGGTCATAATAATCTGGCCACTCAGTGTATATACACATGCAATGGGCACAAAGGTCTATTCTCCCTGGAAGGGGGACAAGCAAGGTTTCATAGAGGAAGTGACACTTGACCTGAGATGGTACAATAGAACATTCCAGAAAGGGGGATAAATAAGAATAAAAGTATAAGGGCATAAAACCAATGACATTTTTGAAGAATTCAAAATAACTAATATAATATGACTAGAGTAAAGGAATTAAGAATGAGGTTGGCATTCAGATCATAGAAGGCCTGTTTGCCATTTGAAAAAATCTGGAATTTATCCTGTAGGGCAGGCAACAAGGAGACATTAAAGGGTTTAAGAAGGGAAGTATGAGGTTTGGATTTTAAGGGACAAAACATATTTGGCAGCAATATGGAAGATGATTTGGAATAAGGCAAGGCACTCTTCTTGTGGCTCAGATATCAGTTCATTAGTTTCATTAAACGATACAGATTTCTCAGGTGATCATTTAACTGAGATGTATTAGAAATAACACTTTTCTTTCCCAATCATGTAAAAGACATCTAACTAGAATGACAAATAACCAAGGCATTTTCCCCCTTCTAATTTAACTAATAGAACAAGGCTGAATAGTCTTTGGCATCAATCCCAGATACTGAAACAGTGTGAAAACAACAAAAAATGGAACATGGTATCTGTCCATAAATCTAATTGTATGGTTAGGGTTATGGGGCATTTTAAGAGTTATGACTTTCCTGGCAAAATAACAAAAATACATACCTTTGAAAATTATTCAAAACAGTCATTTGGCATTCAACCATGTTGACAGAATAAAAAAATGTTGAGTAAATAGCCTACGTGTAATTCACCATTCTTGAAGAAGTAAAAGCTGTTTTCTAAGGCTTCAGAATGATATATTTTATTAAATAATATCATGGTCATGAAAAAAAAGCCAGGAGAAACCCTCCCAGTTCACTTAAAAACGGGAGTCAATCTTTATTTTTTTAATTGATATATTCTGTCACATATAGAATATCTGAGCTGACACATTCACAATGCTGATCTCTGCATTCTAGTCCCTTCTTTCTGCTTTTTGGTGTTTTCTAATTTGGCTTTTTGGCCCCTTGAGTGTGGCTCTTCAACAAAATACCATGTGTGTGTGCACACATACAATGCAATTGAAACTTCCTGGCCCATGCGCAAAAACTGGTTTTTGGCCTTGGCAAGTCTATTTTGAAGAAGTGGTGTTAGAACACTCAAGGGGCCAAAAGAAGAAAAAACAAGTCAATAAAGCAAACTGCACAATCAGATTACTTAGGATGTTTTTTTCAACTTTTAGATTCCAAACCAGCTTTCTGATTCTGAATAAAATTAATATAAACTGCTTTTGAGTGTGTTTGGAATACAGGCAAATTTTCTCTCCTCAAGTATTTATCTTCTGGGAATAAATTTTTGAATTTTCAAAAACACAGAAATTCCCTCTCTCATTTATTCATCAAGCCAGTGGAGGGGAATATTGACAAAAGTATCTGAAAAGAAGGGAATGGAAAACATCAGACATTCATGCATATTATAAATGTTTTTGGCATGCCTTCTGAATTAAATTTTTCTTTAGCTAACATTAAAATGATTCTATGTTCCTACATATGGGCTGGCAAATGAAAGATATGGCAAAAGAAACAGGATTATAATTTAAAATCCATTGCATATAATCTACAAACTGTATCTTCCATAAGCAAATGGGTAAAGACTCTATGCTGAAAAAGATAAGCCACTTTTTAAAAAAAGAGCTGAAGTAGGGAGATGAAAGCATAGGAAACGAATGCTAACCTCTGCTGTGAGTGATGCAATGCAGATGTAATAGTAAAACAAAACACCTGGTCAAGAGTCCACTCCAGAAGTTACTCTGCAAACCCAGCTTTTCATTATCAGAGAACACTCTTCTAAAAGCAGCTCCATCTGAAAGCACAGTCAGCAAAGAATTTCAAAAGAAATATGAAACACTCATCTCTTAGGGTTAAAGAAAGGGTCTGTCAAATAAACTTGGTGTAAAGTATTTCTCCATCCCTTAACACTTATGAAGGGATTTGCAAAGAAAGATGTGTAAATGTAATTTATCTTAAATCAAGCACATTGAAACTTTTCCAGCATTACAAGAATTTAGATCATTTAAAGAAGAGTGGCCCTAGCTTGTTTGGCTCAGTGGATAGAGCGTCAGCCTGCAAACTGAAGGGGCCCACGTTTGATTCCAGTCAAGGGCACATGCTGGTGTTGCAGGTTCAATCCGAAGTAGGGGGCGTGGAGGAGACAGCCAATCAATGATTCTCTCTCACCATTGATGTTTCTATCTCTCTCTGACTCTCACTGTCTCTATGAAATAAATCATATATGTGTGTGTGTGTGTGTGTGTATGTATGTATGCATACATACATATATATGTCAGTTGGATGTATTGTATTCATAATATATAGATTATTTTTTGAAGCATAGTAACTTTCTTACTAGTTAAGACTTGTACCACCCCCTCACATAATCTCTTTTCCTCAACCTTGCAGGTGAACACAATTTCTGAAACCTATACTGCCATACAACATTCAAATTATTAGGTCTTGGGGAGAATACGTTTTACAAACTTTTTATACTAATTACTTCATTTTTACCTCCCATGACTCTCAGACAATGGAGCTGTCATGCTTCTCCTGCCCTAAACTGGGAAGAAAGACCATCGCCACCAACCCTTGTCAACAGTTCCTCTCCAATTCTGTTTTCTAAGTTCAAAAGAATCCATCTGGCCCTAGCTGGTTTGGCTCAGTGGATAGAGCATTGGTGTGCAGACTAAAAGGTCCTGGGTTTGATTCTGTTTAAGGGCACATGTCCAGGTTGCTGGATCCAACTTTAGTAGGGGGCATGCAGGAGGCAGCCGATTAATGATTCTCATCATTGATCTCTCTCTCTCTCTGTCTCTCTCTCCCTCTCTCACTCTTTCCTTTCCTCTCTGAAATCAATAAAGATATATTTTTTAAAAGAATCCATCTGGCTGAGAACTGTCCTCAGACTGGGAAGAAAGAGACTAAGCAGGCCTGGCAAGAATTTGTAGCTGGCAGAGGGAAGGGTAGGCTGAGCACATCACACACACACACACACACACACACACACACACACACACCTGTCCATACACCTGCCCATACACCTGTCGCTCTTGATGTTAGCGGATATCAGAATTGTAGATTGTGCTGGGATGCCAAGTTGTTTATTTTATTTTATTTTATTTTATTTTATTTTATTTTATTTTATTTTATTTTATTTTATTTTATTTTATTTATTTGGGTGTGTGTTTGTTGGGTGTGTGTGTGTGTGTGTGTGTGTGTGTGTGAGTGTGTGTGTGTTTTTAAGTCTAACCATGGAGGAAAGGGATCGTTGGAACCAAACAAGGTATTAGGCCCTTGGCTTAAGTGCTAAGCTTTAGGGTTGGGATCCAGACCCAGGCGTGGCTGAGCTTCAACCTATGAGCCAGGAAGTCATGGTTTAATTTCCAGTCAGGGCATTGTAGAAGCTCTGAAAC